ATTATTATTATTATTATTATTATTATTATTATTATTATTATTAATTATTATTTCCATACTGGGAATCGAATTCAGGCCCTTGCACTTGCAAGACAGGTGGTGAAACCACTAAGCTAAATCCCCAGCCCTCAGCTGTTATTATTTATACCATCACTGTAGTTGTTACTGTTGTCAAAAGGAGACCTGGGTGCTAAGGAGCTTATGAAATTGTACCTTTTGAACTTCATTCAGTTCTTACTCCATCCACACAGGAAACTGGGGCGTATACAGTCATGAATCAGGTGTAAATGTGAGAGCAGACAATGCTGGAAGTTAAATACTCATAAGTCATTGTGTACCTGGTATATTCAGTCTGCTTACTAGAGAAATAGATTTAATGCACAATATACAAATATATAAAGATTTCTAAAATAAACTTACAATGGCCACCCACAGAGTTGGGTGTATAAGAGTGCAAAAGAGCTAGCTGTGCACAGGAGACCAGAAGGATCCACTCCAAGGCCCAGAGAGGCCAAAGGGTCTGTGATAAAAGGCTGAGGAATCTGCACTAGAAGCCAAGAAGCAATGTTCAAGGAGGAGGTGAAGCCTGACACTCCTCCAAAGCGCAGAAGTGATCCTTCCTTCTCTGTTTCCTTTTTACTCCAGTCGGGGCAACAAGCCTATTGGTTGGTGTCACTCACTTCCAGGTTGGGTCTTCCGTCTTGTAAATCGTTTCAGCCACACTCAGAACTATGCTGTTCCAATTTAATTGGTTGTTTCTTACTCAAGTTGACACAATCAGTTAACTGTCACACCTGGTTTCCGGTGGCAAGGAAAGGAGTCTCAAAATTGGTTCTGAAATGGGTGGGGACACTTTGTTAAACAACTCTGAAGTAAGGACACCCTCTGCCAGCCTCTGAGAATGTACTCCTCCAGAAGACATGTTCCTCTAAGTGTTTGTCCAGCTTCTATCGGTCCTTAGCAGGACCTGTTTCCTCCTAGAACAAGCAGAGGGGTCAGATGCCCTCTGTGGACCTTCACAGATCTAAACCTCAGTTCTGTGCAGTTGCTCTTCCACATTCTGACCCAAAGAGCCAGCCAACTTCTCCAGGTGGGAGATTGGAAGCTCTTGCTTCTTCATTGTAAATGTGTTCTTCTGTACGGGTTAGAAGTGCGAGCTGTCTCCAGCTGGGTCCCGGTGTTCTCAGAGGATGGACTGCCCCACTCCAGCCATTCATTCAGTGTCTCCTCTGAGAGCCCCACCCTCTACCCTGAACAATGGACTCCTGCTTTTATATATCTTTCCAATCTTCTAATCAAACTGCAAAACAAAATTGCCATTTACCACTAAGGCAGCAATTAATCTGACTGGCCATAATAGGTACATCCTTTGCATAGCCATAGAACTAAACATCAGGGGAGATTCCAAGAGGAATCAGGCTAAGGTCTTTCACCCTAGGAGGTGGCAGGTGGGTGAGTAAGACTGATGTGTATACACTCAGCACAGTGGAACAGATCTGTGATAGAGCTGAGTGTGTACAG